TGTGATAGGAGAATGGACTGAATTCCAGATGGAGACCTAGAACATCAGTTTACTTATGAAAAAAATACAAGCTTTAGATTTATAAAACATCCCACTGAAATGTTTCCTAAGAAGAACCCTCCTGACTTGAAAACATCACTTGGACTTTTTCCTCTCTCACAACTTTGCAAAGTCAGGAGATATGTTTATATTGCCTACTGAATGATACATAACAATTATCAACTCCTCATCAGCATAACTGTTTCAGAACACCCAGGAACCTTTTCTAGGTCAATAGATTGATCTACATTGCTGCATTTAGGTTCTAAATTTATGACACTCAAAGATTAATAAAATCACTAAGTTTATGGCTTGGATGTGATTAGAATAGATTGCAAAATCTTGACCATTGGTAAAAACAATGTATAAGCAAGTGTAAAGCTGGGCTTCAAAACCAGCTAAACAACAGTGAAAACCTAATAAGGAAAATAAGGCAGGCAATACTGACACTTGTGGTCAATCCTAGATTGCTGGTTTTGATTCAGTTACAAACATGCATGTGATAGCTAAGGCATATGTTGGGATCACAAAGTAGCCAAGTAAATTATTTTACAACCCTGTTTCCACTTCAACTGAACTTATTGGAGAAGTATTCTTTTTGAAGCAAAGAGAGGAACAGCCACTGGCCATATACTTAATAGTTCTTAACACAAAAAATTAAAACCAAGCATTTATGACACTCTGCATTAACACATTTCCAGAAGGTAAAAATAAAACTTAAAAGCAAAAATAACCAATCTTGAAAATGTTGCCATTAATCATTCTGAACTGTCACTTGAAAGGTTTCCAATGCATTACAGTTGAAATAATACTTCATTTTACTATGAAAAAATGGAATAAACTTTTCAAAATATTCATGGAGTATCCAGAAACCATGGTCCACATGGGAACACTGATAGGTCAGCTATGGTATAAGTATTTATTTTAACTCTCATGGGCCTAGTGGCCACCAGGCAGAAGGTTACCAAGCAGTACACGCTTGACTATTGCGACTACTCAGGACAGGTTTGAGAAATTCCTGCTAATGTTGTCGAGATGGAACTTTACTTAATGGCTCAATCTAAGAGTTTATTACAAAATCAGTTAGACAAGATTCTGACGAAACCCTCTAAAAAAGACATGCAGAGAGTTTTCAAAGTTTTTTTGAAGAAAATATTCCAAACCTACACACCTTTGTTTTGCCTAAGTGCATTTTGCTCAGCTCACAGTTGCCACGTGCACAGGTTATTGTAAATCACCATCTTCTCTTACTCCTTGAGTCTGGTTCCAGCCTTGCAGGGCTCACTGAACATTCCAGTGTCCACCGGCCACGGTAACTCTGCCATGTTCCCAACACAGCCTGGACATCTTCACATCAGTTACTCCTTGTAGTCTTAATAGGTGGCAGCATTTCAAACCCTAACATTGCAGCTTCTAATTTAAGATGTAACCATAGTAACATTACAGAACATACTACTCCCTGGATCAAGAACAAGCAGTCCACTGACCCTTCATGGTGAGATTTAGCTGAAATAAAGCTCATTCCAACCTCCAGCCCAGCAAGATTAACAAAACCTCCAGGTCCTATTTCCTGTACAAAGCAAGATCTGCCCTCCTGAAACACCCAGAAACATAGAGGATCATATAAAAGTGGCTAAGAACAAAGTGCTATCAAAGGAATTTCTTCCTGAAACTTTGACTCTAAAGCTACATCAGTCACTCCCAGACAGAAAGCAGTAGAAAAATCAAAGGTTTTTCCTTACTTTTCTGTAAGATGAGCAGACTTGCTCATCCTTTATTTGAAAAAAAAAAAGAGAATGAACAAAAGAAACTGGTCATTAATATTTAAGAATTCAATATTCAATTTGTTCACAAGGCAAGATGACAAATTTTACACATATCAACAGACAACAGCTCTGCCTGAACTTTACAGGCTACACACAAGGGATATATGGTCATTTAATTAAAAGCCAAAGCTGATGTCTGTTCCTTTATAAATTTACTTTCAAAAAGATTCTACTTAGAAAAAACAGCCCTAGGGTTTTTGTACCTTTAATATTTACCAATGAGTATTTACAGAAAAATAAGAACAGCTCTGCCCACTCCAATATGTAAACATACTACGTACAGCTCACAAGCTTCAGGAGGGACACCAGGTACAGTGTAGCAGTAGTAAATAAATTAAGTTGAAACAGTATGGGTTTTAATAACCATTCTGTTGAGATTTAGACTTGCTTCCCAAATACCATGTTACATGTCTTATCTGAAAATTCAGAAGTCAGAGGCAGATTTACATGCTTGTATTTGACAAAGACATTATATCTTCTATGCAAATCAACACGGGTAGATTGACTACATGAATAACCCACTTGATTTCCTATTCGTAGCCTGGAATGCAGCAAAGTGACAGGACTCCTGAGCATACTGTCACATGTTTGTATATGTACAGCAACAGAATGTACAAAGTTCTGGATATTATGTAGGGCAGGGATAAGACAGCTTTGGGTGTTTAAGTAGAAAATTGAGTAGACTGGGCACGCATGAAACCTGTCAAAGCACTGATTCACAATTGTTCATGAAGGTCCCAGATCAGTAAGGAGTGCTGGACACAGACCCTCCTCTCTCACCCCACTGCTGTCCCCTCCCTTCATTTTGTAAACACAAAATTTCTCAGAGTGGAGGAGGTACAAAGTCTTTACTGATACGCACTTTATATTGAGGAAATACGTTCGTGATCCTTGACCCCGTAGCTAAGGAAGTATCATCCCTTCCCATAACACAACATATAAAAAGGTGCAGATAAGAGAACTTGCCCTCTTCTCTCTTCAGGTGGCTGAAGGTGACAGGTCTCTCCGCAGAGGGTCTTTGCTTGTATAGGCCAGGGCCTGCTGCTCAGACCTGCCGTCCTCTCCGGTCCCTCTGGGAAGCCTGGGGAGTTGGCTGGTGCCTCGCACAGTTCTGCTGCTCCGTTCAGGGAAGTATTTAATCCGTTTTTTTGTATTTATTCTCTAGCTCTCTATTAACGGGGTATATTTGGAGGATATTTGTTTTTTGTTCTTTATCCCTGTTTCCCCTTCCCTTTTCCCTTTTTTCCTTCTCGGGAGCTCCCTATCGTGTGTACAATATCAACGCTGCTTCCGTACAATCCTAAACATCCACTGGTCAGATTATGTGACTAATAAGTCTGTTCTAGAACAAGCAGCAATCACAAGTATCGAGGCCATATTGCTGAGAAAACAGCTGCGCTGGGCAGGGCACGTCTCCGGGATGAAGGACCTTGACACCGCCTCCCTAAGATCCTGCTCTATGGTGAACTTGCCACCGGCTGCTGCAGGAGAGGAGCCCCGAAGAAAAGATACAAGGACTCCCTGAAACAACATCTCAGCCTTGGCCATATTGATCAACAGAACTGGTCTACTCTGGCCTCCAGTCGGGAGGTCTGCAGACACACCATCTATAACGCTGCTGATGCTTTTGAGAAAGCACACAGGATAACCCTTGAGGAGAAAAGACAACGCAGAAAGAATCGTGCCCTGCAGAATATACCACCTAAGGAGTCTTTCTGCTGTGCCTTTAGCAACTGGACATGTCTATCTCATATTGGCCTCTTCAGCCACCAGCGCGCTTGTAACAAACGTGGGTAGAGCCCTTCCCAAATCTTCGTTGGCAAAGTCCAGCCATGATGATGATATATTTTTGCTGTAGCTTTGGCTGTTCGGGTTTTTTCCTTCCCTCTTTGGGGAGTCGGCTTTTTTGCTGGGTCTCGGCAATTTGGCGGAGAGCCAGCTCGAAACTTCCACAATCCTAAAATGCCCTCACATAGGATCATAGGATTTGTGGGAATTGTCGTTAGGTTAGGAAATGCATGCATTACAAACAAGACTGAATTAATAGAGAAAGTTAGTGTACATAGATTATTTAGTTAGGAGGATCTAAATCTGATTATGTTTCTAGTAAATTAGCATAATATGCATCTAGAATAATAAAACACCTTGACTGCCTGGGGAAGCCTTATCTGCCAGTTAGGGACATACTTACCCCCAATCCTACAAATCAGACACATCACATGATGGAGCAATTATAGTTTCTTCATCCCTTGGCTAAACAAAAGTCTAAAGAGCTAGTCATTAGCTTTTCAAAACAGAGTGGATAAACACAGTGACTAATAAATACCTGGGTAAGTATGCTACTAGCTTTCTATTGTCTGAGCTATCTATTGTGGTATTTTACTTATACAGTAAATATAGTAAGATGCTTCAGCATAGAAGGGTCATCATTGAAAGGAGAGAAATGAAAGGAACACAAGTTTCCTTAGGACCAGAAAGGCAAATTCTATGATATAGGTATGTCTGTAACAGACAAAAGACATTTTAGATTCATCAATAATTGAAATTAAGTGCCCCCAACTCTGCAATGCCAGACTTCAGGCTTTACCACAGCAGAAAGTCATTAACAGCAGAGAGGCAGCTTAACAGTGTCCTTATACATCAGTGTTGTTCAGTTTAATTGAACAACCTAAGGTAACAAAAAGCAGCTTTTATAGAGTAAGCATGTGCTAAGGAAATCCGAGCAAAGAAATACCTTTTTATTTTTATTTTGGCATGAAGGCACAACTGATTTACGCTCCAAGAGAGCCGAATGGGTTAAATCAATCTTCAGCATCTAAATGCTTATAATTCCCTTGCACTGCAGAACAGCTTTTGGAATATGGGAATAGAACGTCTAGCATTAAAAATCCCCTAGAGAATCATAAGTTACAGTGTCAAGGAAAAGTGAAAACAATCTGTAAAAACCCTCAATTGTTCACTTAATAATCATACAATTTTTATACTCTTCACCTACCACTGTGCATGAACTGAGTATGTATCATTTATCAAATAAGAGCAAGAGCCTGTAAAGCTTCCTGTCTGCCTTTGGATTTAGTCAAAATGAATGCAAACAATCACGTGGGATTCAGCCAAGCAGTGACGTTAAATTCTGCTCTGTCAGAAGACAGCATCTGTCAAAGCCCACATTTAAACTGCTGCCTGCCTGTGCAGCAGCCGAAGAACTACGGAATGGATTTTATACACCAGAATTCTGGGTTAAAACAGCTCCAAACCATTTCTATTACTGCCTAGCAACAATGAAGGAAGGAACAGAGGGAAATCCTATTACTGAAGACAACTGAAGCACTACGCGCTAGCACTCCCTGCTAACACTACCATTAGAAATATGGATACTGGGGAGAGGAGAACACAGCACTGCATTGTCCGACACGGGAAACACCAGATGTAAAAAGCTCCGATGCATCGGCTGTGAGCGCCAGACAGCCCCGCTCCGAACAGAAACGAGAACTACTGTCCTTTTGTTTGCAGGATGAACAGAAAGCCCCAAGACAAGGACGACACTTCTAAGCAAGGAAGGTAACACGGCAACGGGCAGACAGATGGACAGAGTGGATGCCGAGGGGAGCGATCGCAGGAAGCAGGGCTGTGGGGGGATGTGCGCATGTTCGAGAGCATCTTTTCTGCTGAAGTGATGGCGTGCCAAAACTATTTTCTGTGGGTATAATCCTCGCACCATAAATGGCCTGACCAAGGAAGGTATGTCAAACCCTCGTGTGTGATATCCATTCGGTTGTCTGTTACCTTTTCAGCCATTACAGATAATGATCGTTCCTAATTTGCAGAGCCCTGAGATAACACTGTCTCTGAACAGGGAGAAGGAATTCTAGCAGGTTTTCCTCTCCCCCTGCACAATGTCACTACCTTACACTCACTAAATGCACTGCTTACAGTCTGCCAAGGTTGGTGCGGCTGGAGAGGAGGGATTAGAGGGATAATGTAGCTACTGTAATGATTGCTTTTAACTGAGAAATTAAAAACTCAAACCCCTCCAAAATAGAAAAACCAGTTAGAAATCCTCTCAAACTAGGTCAAAATTAATCCTTATCTGAAGTAATCTTAAAGCACTGGTAAAATGGCCATAATGTGACATACTGAGAGCACTGAACCATCAAAACAGACCATGCAGTCAAAAGACATTATCTTAACAGCCCCTCCAGACCTTTTTACACTTGCTTTTCTTCCCCCCAAACACAAGCAAAATGTCATCGGGTCAGTATCAGCCAAGCATAAACTGGGAGCGTGCAAAAGATTGGGCATGATTTAAACCATCAGCAGTGCAAACAGGCACCACAATTTACAAGTAACATCAGGCTCCCCTGACATCCCAAAAGGAAACCTTCAAACACTACACACTCAAAATGGTAAGCACGTAACTTATCTCCTGCCATCACTGCAATTTCTGTTTAATATGAAAACACTGACTGTTTAACTTGGATTGTAAAATGACATTCCATCTAATTGCCATTCATTTCTATTTATTGTTGAAATTTAAATACTTTGCCACTGGTGGCAAACAAACAAGATGAACATTTGCAGAAATTTAAGACCTACATCTATAGCAATTCAATACACCACAGAAAGAAAGTGCTTATCTGCAGAATCTACCAATATGCTATAATAAATCATTGAAAGTCAATATAAATGTGGTTTCTTTGCCCAAGGCAATGCTAACATGCAATAAAACAACTGCAGCCAGAGAGAGTTCACAAATCTAAGGATGCAGCATATAACAGACACTGGTTTCAAATCAGTTTTAACACATTCAGAATATAAAGTCACTTCACAGAACTTTTAAAGCAACAACAAAAAAACGTACCCTCAGGCAATACTCCAGGAGAAGCACACTTAGCTCATGGTGAGACTTTCATATCTTGACATTTAAAAACCTGCACATCAAGCCTTATCCCAAGTACTGTTTTGTGCAAAAGATTAATGGAGTTTGTAAGGGAACTCGGACACATTTTCTGAGGCCCAATATGCAACTGCTGCTGTTGTTCATCAGAATACCAACTCAGGCTGCCTTTTAAACTCTTCCCTCTAATTTAAGAGTTTGCCCACAGAGCTAATCAAAATATGAAAAACCAAGACGTGTGAATAGGAAGTCGAATGCTTCAATTTGCAAAGCTGTAATTATAGAGCAGAACTGCAAGTACCAGGAACCAAAACACCAGCAGAGCACAGACCACAAATAAAAATTCAAGAGGCATTCACAGTTTATATATTTGGCATTTGATAATGCATCAGTGACTGCACTGTCAAGTGCCAAAAATGAAGCAGCATTATCATAAATAATATCTTCAAATCGCAGTTACATGCAACAACACTCGCAGAGGACAAGGTGAGTGTTACAGAGACCTTTTGCTACACTTAGGTTTTCTTATCTACTGTCAATAGTTGGTGCCTGTTCATAAGCTTTCTGTGAAATAGAATTTTAAATATTTGGACAAAAGCAGGAATGCTCTAACCCTAAGTAAGTGAAAGAAAATAATATTTTTATTTTACTATTTGATGGTGAGTTTAATGTCTACTGATAGTTTTTTTACGTTATTTTTAAACAATGCATCCTAGCATGTAGTATTTTTTTCAAAGGTGCAGTTGTTGTTGCTGTATTTCAAATGCTTGATACCCCACTGTATATTTTGAAATGTTTTACATACAAATCGCAAAGAAAATGAGCCCCAGTTATTTGAGTTTTGTTTCAGTCAATACTTTCATGAAGCTGAAAAATACATGTGGGTCCTTCCCCTATTCATACAATGCTTTTTTAAAGGGCAAACAGAGACAGATTTTGAAAGAAACTTCTACCTTGAAAAATCAAGGAAATATGTGAAAAATCAAGGAAATAAGACTCTCTTGAAATTTCTTACGGTTCTAGTTCCATCCATCAGTGTAAAACTTATTTTCATGTGCACAGTGTGAGCATGTAGGCTAATCAAAAAAGGTTTCAGCCATTACAACTGCCTTTCCTGGGACACTTCCTCAGTGCATCATGCAAAGACAGCACCTGAAAACAGTTTTTTGTTTAGACAAATATTTATGTAACTTAAGAGTCTCACTTGCGCCTATTGCCATATCAAAGTAGGTGCACAACAAAATACTACCTAATTAAATATTAAACACAGATTAGCAGTGCAGCTCATATTTGCTGAAATAATTCCATCTAATGGCTGTAGTTTTGTAAGTGGAACAATTCAGTGTGACAAAACTGATCTGAATTCTAGCTGCTACTCCACATTCATGAAATTCTGGGTTTGACTTTCTTCCTAAACTGTGTAAGCATGCAATGGAATGATAATTAATCAAATATTCCCACTGCTGCCTTCCAGCCTGGTATCAAACAATTAACTTCCTTGAGATCTAGAGTATCCCTTGAAATGGCATTTATGTTTGCTGATGCAGAGATATTCTTCCCAAACAGCCGAGTGCTCATAGAGAACTCACTGCACACTGCAAAAAAACTAAAAATTATGAATTTTGAGAGGAGGCTTCTGTTTTTTCAGCAGGCAAAAGCAGGTTCAAGTGGTCAGATAGACATGAGCCTTTCACATTCGGGGCTTTTCTTTGCATAAGGACAACGTCCGAGTTAAAGCGGCATAAACGTGGCGCATCAGGTTAATTCTGAATGTTCTTAGTTTAGACACAGATGTTTACGATTTTTAGGGAGGCAGCCAAGTCTCCGGCAAGTGGCATCAGCCCCACGCGGTTAAATTAAAAAAAATAAAAAATAAAAAATCAGAAATACTTTCAGCAAGCCCGAAAGCCCAAACGCATGAACGCTGGGCAGCAGCAGCGGGGCGGGATCCCCGGGCCGGTGTCCGGCTGTTCCCGAAGGCCCCGCGGCCCTTCCCGCTCCCTTCCCGCTCCCGATCCCCTCCCGGGTCACAATTCCCGCGCGCTGGCGCCCCCTGGCGGAGGTCAGCGGGGCGGCTCCCGCTTCCTGCCGAGCCCTGTCCGGGAGCAGCTCCCGCTCCCAGCGGAGCGTGTCCGCTCACACACGGCCAGTGAGTAAAACAAACCCTTTGCTGCGCTTCTCTCCCCGCCCTTCTGAAATGCAAATAGTCCCCTACGTGAGCCGGGCAATTTAATATTATTCGACTGACATCTCAAGCTACTTCCTTACAATCTTAAATCCTGTCATTTCCCATGTAACGCGTCACTTAGTTTTTAAATGCGTAAATTAATCCAAATATTGGTTTTAGAAGATAGGGAAGCAATTAATAAATTACACATTTCTATTAGAAATAGCATTTTTTATGGACTCTTGTTCAGCTGTCATCCTTTTTTCCTATACAAAACCCTGGGGCCCAGAAATAAATTAGAGCAAATTGAAAATCACAAACGAATTGCTTCTGTGCAGTGAAAGGTTCATTTACGAGATGATGTGATCAGCTTTTAATATGCAGCATCATGAAGCTGCCATATTGACTCTGCTCCTGAATATGAACAAAAATTTAAGAGAAAATGAAGCACAGACTACTTTGGCACTTTTTCTTACAGCTACAGCTGCTGGTCACAATACTTGAAATTTCTGACTGGTACAAGAGGTACAGTATTTACATACGCATTTATAGCGAAAAAACCAGAATCACGATCATCAGATGGTTTGCCAGAAACTTAGTGCTGTGCAATTTTACTTCCAGTTAATACGACACTACCCAAGATCTCTGCCTACTAAAAATCAACAGCTTAATTTTAATTCCGCTTCCTGTGAGCCTGTCACCACAGCCAAGTGTTCCATTCAGTATTTTCCTTGATGGTGGAGTAGAAGGTTAAAGGTGCCTGAAAGGTGACTGAAAATGTTATCCTGCATTACCATCCGAGGGCTGTGCACGGAGGTTACTGGACCCTGAAAATTAATTTTGACAGGTGCATCTTCTCGTTGACTTTCCGAACACAGCCGGGGCCGGTGGAAGCACGCCAGGCAGTGTACTGTGACTAACACAGCTCTGCCATAATCAACCTTGCGCCGTCTGTCCCAACACCAACACATGACCATTTTGCAAAAAGGGTTTTAAACTGAGAGCCGTCCTAGCCTCTGCATGTCAAATCAATTTTAATTAATGCCAATAAACCTTCCATCTGGTATCAAGGCTTTTTCATTCAGTCCTCCTTTAACACTGTACAAGGATTTCACAGTTAGTATATATGAAGCTATTTACATGTACTTCACACTTCTCCCTGCTAACATGATCAATTATGGGGTTTTTTTCCTTTTTATCTTTGGCATCCAGGAGGTTTGTCAAAAGTTTTACTATTAAAAAAAAAAAGCATTTCTAAAAGCTAACAAATCAAGTGAAATCATAAAACAAGGTTGGCTTTTAGCATAAATCAATCTTGTTTCTATTGCCATGGACTTTTTTAAAAAAATTAACTCAATTTTCTGTTCATATCTACTTTCTATTTGTAACCTTTCATATTATCAGCATGTAAAATGAAAGATTTCTGATTTTTTTTTTTTTACTCTTTACAGAGCGAGCCATTTGCAGACAATTGCTCAACATGAACGAAAGAAAATGAATACCAAAGAATAGCAGTGGATTGAAAACCAATCGGAAAAGCATTTTGCTTGACCATTGTCTCATTTCCCATCATTGGATCCTTACAACATGCTTCAGTGGAGGAGACGACACTGCTGCTTTGCAAAGATGACCTGGAATACCAAAAGGTCTCTGTTTCGCACCCACCTCATGGGCCTGATCTCCCTGGTGTTTCTGTTTGCTATGTTTCTGTTCTTTAATCATCACGACTGGCTGCCAGGCAGGGCTGGATTCAGAGAAAATCCCATGGCTTACACTATACGAGGATTTAGGTCTACAAAAATCGAGACAAACCACAGCTCGCTAAGAAACATGTGGAGAGATGCTGTACCTCAGACACTCAGGCCTCCAACAGTCACCAACCCCAACAACACGGATCTGTCTCCACAGGGAGTAACTGGTTTGGAAAACACCCTCAGCGCCAATGGAAGTATTTACAATGAGAAGGGTACTGGGCATCCGACTTCGTATCATTTCAAATACGTCATCAACGAGCCTGAGAAGTGCCAGGAGAAGACCCCTTTTCTAATACTGCTCATAGCTGCAGAGCCAGGCCAGGTGGAAGCCAGACAAGCTATTCGGCAAACTTGGGGTAACGAAAGCCTGGCACCTGGCATCCAAATTGTTCGTATTTTTTTGTTGGGGTTAAGCATCAAGATAAATGGATACCTCCAGCGCACCATCCTTGAGGAAAGCAGACAGTACCACGACATCATTCAACAAGAATACTTAGACACTTACTATAATTTAACCATTAAAACTCTGATGGGAATGAACTGGGTTGCAACCTACTGTCCACATGTTCCATACGTTATGAAAACTGATAGTGATATGTTTGTCAATACCGATTATTTAATACACAAGCTTCTGAAACCAGAACTTCCTCCAAGGCACAAGTATTTTACAGGTTATTTAATGAGAGGTTATGCACCCAATAGGAACAAGGATAGCAAGTGGTATATGCCACCTGATTTGTATCCAAGTGAACGTTATCCTGTATTCTGCTCTGGAACTGGTTATGTTTTTTCTGGAGATTTAGCAGAAAAAATCTTTAAAGTCTCCTTAAGCATCAGACGTTTACATTTGGAGGACGTGTACGTGGGGATCTGTCTGGCCAAGCTGCGGATTGACCCCATGCCTCCACCCAACGAGTTTGTCTTCAATCACTGGCGAGTTTCTTACTCTAGCTGTAAATATAGCCACCTTATTACCTCCCATCAGTTCCAACCTAGTGAACTGATCAAATACTGGAACCACTTACAACAGAATAAGCACAACGCCTGTGCCAATGCAGCGAAAGACAAAGCAGGCAGGTACCGCCACCGCAAACTGCACTAGAAGGACGAGGCTCCCTCTGCCCACGTGCAACCTGTAAATACTGCTGAGTGCATGTACAGTGAACATGGATGAGCTTCATGGGACAGCCTTCAGTTGATCCCCATCACATAGTGGAGTCTGGAAATTATTTTTTTAAGTTGAAAAAAAAAAAGTCTAGTTCTTGATAACAGTAATATTATGAAATGATAACCAAAAGGTTTTCCCAGCAAATTTGAGTTAAAAAAAAAGAAAAGATGGTATTAAGGATTTTTGTGTTAATGTGCAATAATAAGCATGCACACTTTGGTGGTACAATTGCTGATTTATGTGCCAATAAAATATAATGGAGCATATTTTCCACACTAAAATTTTATTTTAAAAAATGCATTCATAGCTCTAGTTCTCTTCCATGTAATGATCTCTTGTTATCTAGAATTGCTATAAAATGAAAAATTAAAAACTAAGTAAATGCACAAAGGGCAGATCAGTTTTACTTACAATTATTATACACTACTTTAACGTACAACACATTTAGCAATATCACAATTTAGCAAGACACTACCAGTGGACTCTAAAGCACTAAGAAAGTACTCCTTGGAAGTAGGCCCAGTTTTGGGAGGTTTGCTTATTTGGTTAGGAAGGAGGGATAAATGAAATCAAAGTTCATAAGACTTGCTTTGTACATCACCTTCAGAAATGCAAGTGGTGTTCTGGATGCAACTAAATTCTCTTCAAAGAGCTGACTAAAAGTCACTTCATTCTCTAGAAGTCACAGAATGAGCTCCTAAAGTAACCTTCATGGAAATTCATTCAATCTGCTATTAATTTCCCTACATAACTTCAAGGTAACTGAAAGGCTGATCAGAAATGTAACATGTAAGTTCAAGTCTTGTATCATTCTTGATGAAATTCCATTTTGTCCAAAAAGGGAGAAAACCAATCAAACATTTGTTGATTTTGCTTTTTCCTCCCCTGCCAAAAAACAAGGATCAGTCAAGTGAAAATACATCTGCTAGAGAAAATTAAGCCACACACCTTACTTTATAGGTGGGAAAGGCTAGGTCATAATAAGATTGAGAGTTCCAGATAGCAATATGGGCAAGAACAAAATCCAGGCAATTTTAAACTCACAACATGTAACACTGAAAATAAATTGTGAGAAGTAGGTTAAATCTATTTACAGGTTTCCAGTTTTCTAACAAACAGAACTTTTAAAGCTTACTTTCCAACAGTATCAAATTCAGGTTATTACTGCTTGTCACAGTGCCAGGGTAAGCAATACCCACCTCTTACTTAGCAGCAAATGATAGCACTGCAATCAGTTTTCTGTTTGACTGGGACTTTTTAATTGGATAAAATACAAATATTTGATGTACTTTTATTATTTAATAAAATTGATTATATTTATGGTCTTAAGACTTCACTTTTTATGGGAAAGCTGCTCAGGAAGAAATAAATTTCTAGCTTTAGCATTACTTGGCTATTACTACTACGTTCCCTAGTCCTTAAAGCCTAGTTTTCATACCATGCACTGTACAGATCACAGCAGGGTTTTTTTCGTTGTAATGAAAAGACAAATCATATTACTGAGCACTCTCAGCAGCTCTAGAGCTGTCTGTCTGCAGGAACTTACACGTGTGAACAGAGTGCAATGCGCTGGACTATGTCTCTGAAGCAATTCTAGGAGCTCCTATGGATGATGGGTATTGGAATTTGCTCATCACCAATTTTTTTTGTGAACCTCCATTAAATTTTGTCCTCTGCAGTATTTGAGGTATGCTAATTACCCATTTGTGCATTTCCAAGACAATTCAAATTGCAGAAACGTCTGTTTCTAGGGAAAGTAAATACATGTAAAAGTCATAACTCTCTTCTGCAGAGATTTCTCCAACTAGGTTGAAAGTACATACGCTTAGTTTATGTGATGACTATTGGCATTTGTGTAAGACAGAGGTGTGAGCTGCATTAGAAAAAGTCTTTGGGAGTGTTCTCAACAGCCATTAGTAGTTCTTCCCCACTCAGCCTGCCTGCTTCCTGCCAGCTGACACAGGCCCCAGCAAACAGCCCAGCTGAAAGCCACCCGCCTGAAGTTCACTGTATGCAAGCTTTACACTATAGCACCAATTTTAGACCACCAGAGTGAGAGTCTAAAGCCAGCTACTACTCCAGGGTATTCAGTTTTGGAAGATGTACAGTCCCATAAGTGGCCTCTCCCCAGTAATGCTGCCAAGAGCACAGTCCATCCTCCTGGAGAGGACTTCAACACTGTTCCCTGCCTTCAAGCCATACTGTAATTTGCTCTGCTTGGGTCTTACCAACTCTGGCTAGTTCAAAACGCTGTTACTGGCTTCTGGGTATAGTCCAAGAGGTTAAACCGAAACCTTAAACAGTTTGGCACTTGAATCATCAAGTTTGGCAGCCAAACAGCCTCTCGGGTGCTCCACTTTGGAGCACATAAACAACGTGGATCTGCCCCAGCTTGGCAGAACCACAGCACGATGCCTACGAGTTCAGCCTATCGAACTTCTTGATAGTTAAAATACGAGTGAGGAGTATAAGAAGCTAAATAAAAAGCCATTTTTAATGTCCTCCTAAGGGTCCAACATAATTTTTAACATTTGTATTACTGTTTGGGTATTAATTGAAGCTACTGTATAAATATAGTTGAATCCTTACCAAGATAGCCAAAGGCTACTTAAATCGTTTGCATCCAAGTACTGTTTTCTTGCACAGTTTGTTGCAAAGCTTGCAGAAACAAAAGGGAAAGCCTGTATGATAAAATATGCAATTACAGAATGAAAGCTCTACATTCTCTTCTCTGAATGTTTTACTGCTTTCTAGCTTGTGTTTAAGCTATTTGCTCACTCTACTAGAATATAAAAACAGTTCATGTTAAAAATAGTGCAATAACTATTTATATCATTAAAATCTTGGACAAGTTCTCTCACTTCCTTTCCCCACGAAGCAAGACAAAAAAAATGCATTTTCATTAGCAATAGGATACAAACTTGTAGCTAAAATTCTAACAAGTCTGCAATGCATTTAAAAAAAAAGGGAAAAAAGGATATAACTATTCACTGAATATAGAAATTTGTACGATATTTGCTTTGAATGTTTTTACTTCTCTGTATTTCTGCTTCAGGTTGAAAACAAATATAAAAAGTCATAATGGCTCAAAACTTATGATGGAAGAAAAAAATTATGACATCATCAGTACAATCATTATGGCAAAGGAAAACCTTAGAAGACTTATCATGGTAACAAAAATCAGAAATTGGAATTCCATCATTTCCCCCTATTTATTTAACTAAATAAAGATTTACAAGTTGATACCATAGGACCAAAATGAAGTCCGGCAAAAAACCGTTATTCAACAACAGAACTGTTCCTTTCACATCTCCAATTAAATCACTGATGTGGGTTATTTGCAGATCACACATCAACAGATTTAAGAATGGAAAAAGCACAACTACAGGCTTTAATGTAGTAGAACTGATCCTATCCCCAGTTACTGACAAATCTTTTGTGGGTAAAGTTCACATTCTGTTCTAATCTGAAGAAATTATAGGTAAAGATACTTCCAAGTTTCAGTGGTTGGCCTGAGAGAAAATTCTGTGTCCACAAAGATCTTCACTTAAATTTATAAACTTGAAATTATGGGATGGCAGTGATCTAGAAGAGGTGAGATAGACTGGCTTTCAGGTTAACCTTACTAGAATTGCAATTTAAAATCTGCTTTTCTTTGCAATGCAGTAATATAAAATGTGTCAGTCCTTATTTACAAAATATTTTCAGAATATATTAACATGTTAATATATTAGACATGCATAACTGTCTCCAAACCCATGCTAAATCAGACACTGAAGGGGAGGGAAGCACCCAGAGGCCATTACTTTAGATTGCCTCCCCCTTCCCACTAATTTTCCCAATATGTTAACACAATCCCCAATCATACTTCAATCTAAAATACCTACATAATCCCACAGTGCAAGAACATCTTATCTCTTGAATGAATGCTCATTGCAATGTGTGAAAACATGAGAGAAAGGGGATGAAAGGGAGAGGGAAGATGCTAATATAGAAGATACTACTTCTTACATTTGTGCTGTGAGCAAGAACAGCCTCGTAACTCATTTGCAAAAGCACCACTAGTTGTTTTCGTATGTTTACAATTTTAAATACCATTTCTCAACCCCTATTTTCTGCTGTTGAATAGCACAAACGAATAAATATTGGACAGGTGCTTAATTACACCATGATAACGGCACCTATTAATCAGTTCAGATCACCCTCCCAGAGCAGCCGCTGGGTCGGTGCCGCGCAGTCTCACCCCCCTTGCTGACCACGGTCCCTTCAGATGGCTGATCACACCTATGGCACGTGGCACTGCCTGTATTACTACAAATTACTACTCCCTTCTCCAGCTCTGCTTTCCAAGGCCCAGCCACTCTGTTTGGGAGCCCTGGGGAAGGAGGGAGGCAGGGAAGCTGCACTGTGGAAATGTAGGTCAGGAGGGAGAGAACGTGGTCCCTGCTTTGTACCCACGGCGGGAGTGAAGTCAAAGGCTTTCCAGAGCAGGAGATTGGGGGAGGGCTGTGGAAAACAACTTCTTGCAGCAGATCAGTTAAAAAGGTGCTTGAATATCAGGAAACAGAGTGACACTAAAAATGCAGCAGCTGATCAACACCACGAGGATTAAAAACATAGAGCAGGCTCAGCTATAGGGGAAAGCATTACAAAACTGAGGCCAAATTAGAAAGCAGGATCTGGAATTCTAGTGGTAAGTGTTCACACTTCTCTAATTAGAGAGAAAATAACCTATGAGGTAAATCCATTCTTCTAACAAAATTTTTAGTTTGTGGTTGCAGTCCATGTGCTCTTTTATGGCCTGAACCAAACGACAGGATGTGACACAATGGCATGAACAGCAGGTCAGTAACTCCACAAGAAGTATTTTACATATAGGACTGTCAGTGCACAGGCAGACCAAAAGCAAAGCAAACTAGATCACTGGTGCCTAGATTTACATTTCATTTTCAAAGAATGAGTTCATTTCAGTCTTCATTTGTTCCAGGTTAACTCAAAAGAAATCAAGCCTGGTACAGTATGGCACCTTCCTTTCACAGTTAAAAGACTGCAAAGGAATTTAGCTGAACACGGGATATGGATGAAAACTACCACATTGCTGTTCTGATATTGCCATGGCAACAGTTACAAGAGCTCTCTTAAGCATTTAAATCTGACAGCTTTCACGATAACCCTAACTGAATGATAGTAATGATGCATTTTGGTTCATGAGCTAACTGCTGTATAACCACAGTGTATGAACTGTTCCCCTCACTTTTCTCAACTCTATGCTTTTTGGTCAAAACTTTCTGACCGAGACAATAACCTTGAATTACCACTCAAAAAAAAAAAAGTCACTCCAGCACAGGGAGTACTCATGGCTTAAAGCTTTATGTACTCTCAAAGGTTTCCATTTGACTGCTTAAGTTGTGCACAGTCGGTGTACAGGGTGGAGAAGTCAAGACTGCTAAAATCTTTGACGGGACTTTTCTCAAAGGGCTTTCGTTCGCCTGGGAAGGCTGCAGAGAAGAAAATGCCTTCTGAAGTGTGGACTGAATTGTTGCTGACCTTCAAGGTATCATTTGGTCAAGAAAAGAGAAGGAGGAAGAAAAACCAGTGGTTTTTTTACAATCTTTATCAGTTTGCAACCAATATACACTTTTTAAAATAACAAAACACTGCAAGCTGCTTTACCTCACTGGAGGCCAAAGTGCATTGAAGAATACACAATGTGCCTCTTAGGACCAGGGCATCAGAAGAAGGCATCCTTTCCTTTTAGGCTATTTAGTTTTATCTAACATTAATTGGCATTTCAGCTGTTTAATATGAATATTCCGTAAACCACTTGCTCTCATCTCCCAGATGCTCCGTGTGGGCATAATGGAGAAGTCTCTTTTTCTTTACCTCATTAAAAAGTGAAGTGTGTGAAACATATTTCTCATCCTAACATTTTAAGGATACCAGCTTTGATACTGTCTTGCAGTATATTCAGCCGAAAAAGATGAAGAAACTGAAAACAGTGTGAGATCCTTAAAAATTTCCCAAGATGAAAAAAATTGAGATTAGAAGAAACAGTCATGCTTGCAAGGATCTAAGAGATGAATCTTTTCAACATAAAAAAGTCCTCAGAAAGTAAAGTACTCTCAGTTCTTTCCCTGTTAACACTTTTTAAAGTTTTATATTAAATTAAAAATTAAAAACAACTATGCCATCCTAAAAAACCACTAAATCCCTTCACTCTTGAAAAACCACAACCTCACCTCATCTTTTCTAGTGGAAAGGCCAAGTGTTCCCACATCTCCAGAAGCTCAAAGTTTAAAACAAGAAAAACCAACTGCCACAAGAAATCC